ATTGAAGTCCAGCAATCAAGTCCCCTTTGGCTCACCTAATTAGCATGCCCAATTAAAATTAAACACCTCATCCTAACATGGGGTTCCCCGTTTACCTTTATAAACCACCGTTTTCTTATAGGCCACATCTATCTATATCTCCTCTATCTAGAGGCAGTCCTTTGTTCCTTCAGGACAAATATCCCTTCCCCTTCTCACTCATTCTCTATCCCCTCTAGCCCTCCACAGCAAATAAATCTCCTATGTGCTAAGAACTCAGTCTTGGAGGTCCTGAGAAAATACTGATCCCTAACAATTACCAATATATTCAGTTAAAAGAATAAATTCAAGAAGGGTATGATCCTCACACCTGTTATTTTAGCACTGGAAGGCTGAAAGAGGGAGATCAAAATAAGTTCAAAGTGAGACTGGGAGCTGAAAAAAAAAAAACAAAAACAAAACAAAAACAAACCACAGCCTTTGTGACTGAAGTTCAGCTCCCTGAAACCAATTAAGGGTGGAAGGAGCAAACTTACTCTAAAAATGTTGCTTTCTGACCTCCATACCTGTACTGTGGCATGGGTGCCCACACAAACAGATACAAACACTGTAATTTTTTTTAAATGTTTTCAAGTTAGAAATCAAAACCAGGCTGGCCTACATAAAAAGTTCCTGGTCAGCCAGGGCTAAAGAGCATTCAGTCTTTTAAAAAAAAAAAAAAAGAACAAAAAAACCCCTCAATGTTATAGGAGAAAAGCCAAATATAAAAGAGTATCTACTGTATAAAGTATGGTTTTATCTATGTAAATTCTAGACCTACAGTATGAAGTAACAAAGAGCAGGTTAGTGGTTCCCAAGACCAGCTTGAAAAGAAAGATTTAAAAAAGAAAAAAAAAAAAAAAAGGCAACTACTATAAAGAATTATGACCCAGGCAGTGGTGGTGCTCGCCTTTAATCCCAGCACTCAGAGGCAGAGTCAGGAGGATCTCTGTGAGCTCGAGGTCAACCTGGTCTACAAAGCTACACAGAGAAAGCCTATCTCAAAAAACCAAAAAGAAAAAAAAAGAAAGAAAGAAACATGAAAAAATTTCTGAATGTAAAATTAATGTCTTGCATGTGGCAGCTTTTACCAGTTGTCTTTAATTTTAATGAAGTTTATTGTACATAAATTAGAGATAAATAAAGTTGATTTTGGGGCTGGAGAGATGGCTCAGCAGTTCAGAGCCTGGCTGCTCTTCCTGAGGTCCTGAGTTCAATTCCCAGCAACCACATGATGGCTCACAACCATCAGTAATGAGATCTGGTGCCCTCTTCTGGCCTGCAGGGGCACATGCAGACAGAACGCTGTATACATAATAAATAAATAAATCTTTAAAAAAAATAAATAAGGTTGATTTTTAAAAAATTAAAAAAGAACCAGTGATATGGTTCAGTGCACAAAAAAGTTCACCACACTAGCCTGATATCCACGTTCAACCCCCAAAACCCTAGTGGAATGAGAGAATTGACTTGTTAAAGTTGTCTGCTGTGATATAATCCATCTGTACACTGTGAAAATGTGTTGCTCTCATTGTTAATAAAAAGCTGATTGGCTGGTAGCTAGGCAGATTTTTGGGAAAGAGAGAATGTTGGGAAGGAGAAGGAGGAGTCTGAGGAGACACCATGAGACAAAAAGCAAGCAACATAAAAAGTACACAGATGGGGCTGGAGATATGGCTCACGGGTTAAGAGCACTGACTGTTCTTCCAGAGGTTCTGAGTTCAATTCCCAGCAACCACATGGTGGCTCACAACCATCTGTAATGTGATCTGTTGTCCTCTTCTGGCACCACTGTATACATGATAAATAAATAAATTAAAAAAAAGAAAGAAAGAAAGAAAAGTACATCTGGTGTCCTCTTCTGGCACCACTGTATACATGATAAATAAATAAATTAAAAGAAAGAAAGAAAAGTATACAGATGAGGTGAACAAGCCTGGGGAAGCAAATAGACTAGGAAAATTGGGTTAATTTAAGTTATAAAAGTTAGCTAAAAACAAGCTTAAGCTATTGGCTGAGCATTTAAAACTAACAGTAAGTCTCTGTGTGGTTATTTGAGAGCTGCTAGAACAGAGAGAAACCCCCGCCTACAGTTGTCCCCTGACTTCCACACATACACATAATAATCATAACACACTTAAGAAGACTGGGGTTGGGCTAGAGAGATGGCTCAGTAGTTAAGAGTACTGACTGCGCTTCCAGAGAATATGAGATTCAATCCCCAGCACCCACATGGCAGCTCACGTCTATCAAGGAACTCCAGTTCCAGGAGACCTGACACCCATGGCAAAACATCAATGCACATAAAAGTAAATTAAAAACAAGGGCTGAGGTTACAACTCAGTGACAGAGTACTTGCCTCCATGACCTAGGTTCAACTAGTAGCACCATGAGAATAAATAAACAAACTCCTGGGAGAACTAACCCAAACCAGGCAGCATATAAAACTGCTATAAAATATATACTTTATATTCGAGGCCAGCCTGGTCTCCAGAGCGAGTGCCAGGATAGGCTCCAAAGCTACACAAAGAAACCCTGTCTCGAAGAAACAAACAAAAACAAAACTATATATATATATATATATATATATCAGTATGATTTCAAGTCAGGCCTTTAATCCCAATACTTGGGAAGCAGTCAGGCAGATTTCTGTGAGTTCTAGAACAACATGGTCTACAGAGTAAGTTCCAGGACAGCCAGGGCTGTTACACAGGGAGAAATCCTGTCTCAAAAACAACAACAACAAACAAACAAAAGATTTCCAGTTCAAGGCAAAGTTGGGCCAAGGAGGAAGACGGTTTCTTTATTTAAAAAAAAAAAAAAAATTAAAAGAGGGGGGAGGTAAATAGGTCAGCAGTTAAAACACTTGCTGCTCTTCCATCAGAGTTCAGTTCCAAGCACTCACAATCAGTAGCTTCCAACAACTAGACAGAGAAAAATATGGACTAAAACAAGTAGGTAAATTACGTTTTTAAGAGGCAGTCTCATTCCCCACCCCACCCCAAAAAATGGTAACTTTAAAATTAAAGCAAATGCCACCAAAAAATCAGCTAAGAATACAATTTAGTAATCGAGTGCTTGCCTACTGCACACCAAAACAAAACAACCCCCACCAAAAAAAACAGAACAAAAAGTTGTGTAAACTAAGCTTTTATCCCCTTCCAACCCAAGAAGATACAACATGCTCAAAAATTTTTTTTTTCGAAGCAGGATTTCTCTGTATTGCTTTTGCAGCCTGTCCTGAAACTCGAGCTGTAGACCAGGCTGGCTTAGAACTCACATTGATCCACCTGTCTCTGCCTCCAGAGTGCTGGGATTAAAGGTGTGTGCCACCAACACCTGGCTCAAATTTGTTTTTTTAATAATTTTTATTTTATTTGCATTGGTGTTTTGCCTGCACGTATGTCTGTGTGAGGGTGTCAGATCCTGGAGTTACAGTTGTTGACTGTGGGTGCTGGGAATTGAACCCAGGTTCTCTGGCAGAACAGTTAGTGCTCTTAACTGCCGAGCCATCACTCCAGCCCTAGAAATAAGTCATAGGGAAATAGTAACAAATAAGCGACTACCTAGAAGGGCAGATAAAAACGGAAAGAGATTCTGGTAATACAGATGACAAGTTCGACCGCAGAGGTAAGCAAAAGAGGGTTAACATAGAGGACACAGCAGGTATCCAAATGGGTTTTTTTTTCACCTACAACCTCCATACAGTCACATCATCACTTAAGATCTTTGGGCCGGGCAGTAGTGGCACACACCTTTAATCCCAGCACTCAGTAAGCAGAAGCAAGTGGATCTCTGAGTGCGAGACCAGTTTGGTCTCAGAGAGCAGTCCAGGACAGCCAGGGCTAAACAATCTCGAAAAAAACAAAACAACAAAAAGATCTTAAATTTGTATTCTCGAAGGTGCTTGTAGAAAAAAAAAAAAAAAATGTATCTGGCCGGGCAGTGGCAGAGGCAGGCAGATCTAGATCCAAGAGTTCGAGGCCAGTCTGGTCTACATCGTGAGCTACAGGACAGGGTCCAAAGCTACAGAGAAACCCTGTCTCGAAACAACAACAAAACCGTATCTGATTTGCCCCTTACACCAAACCAAGAAGTTGGTAAGGAAGGTAAATTCATTGTTTACATACAAAGGGAATCCCAACACAGTTCCTTCCTTCCCATTTTTTTATGCTCAACCCTCAAAAATCACAAGTATAACAAAACTCGCACCAGCTATGCAACCCTTGCCAAGGTAAAACATTATAAACCTCAGGGTCCCCACCCGTGAAACTTGAACAAGGTTGCTAGGAAAATTTTAAATGAGCTCATTCTACACTGTGCAACACAATGTCAGAAACATAGCGGAAGCTAAGAGATGCTACGGCTGCTACCATTAATAACAAGCGTCACAGGACCCTCATGAACATTCAAGAGTATTGCACAGCCCCCATTACCGCGGTCCTCAACCATAATCCCACTGGCAAGGACCCAAACAGACCCACCGCCACCCCCAAAAATCATTACCGGTACCCACAAACCTTGCCCCTGTAGGGTCTCCTTTCACCATCGGTTACAAAGGAGGCCCTCCTCTCGCACCGGAGTGAACAGCACCCCGTCTAAGCCTGGCCATCCCCTGAGCGCACCCAGGCCGCACGCCAACCAAGGACCCGCGCCGGTTACCTGGACGCGCGCCCACGCGCTCCTCGGACAGCACTTCGCCTCGAGGTATATCCCGCTCGGTGAAGATACAATTACTTTAAACTATGGTCCCGCCCCCTCTCGCCGCCCTCTCATTGGACCGGGTCGGCTGTAGTTAGCCGGGCACCCTGGAGAACCCGGGAAAAGGAAGTGCAAGGGCGTCGGTAAAAGAAGACGGGTTAATACTACTTCCTGATTCCGGCCTTTCCTTGATGGTAACAAGAACTACAAGTCCCAGCAAACCCCGCGGCTTCAGCGTCCTGACCCGATGAACTACAAGTTCCGAAAGGCACCACGAGCACGTTCACCCGCACTCTCTGGGGCGTGGTGACGAAAGTAGTTGCCATGGAGTTGCGCTAAGTAACCCTCTGGTAGTGGGACGCTGAGGCCGGAGGGTAAGAAACAGCGGGTGAGTTGGGCGGGAAAACAGGAAAAACTTTCTAGGACATTAGAGCTCTCTAAAAGGGGAAGAACTCCACAAAAAGAATAAGTTTCCCAATCGGGGACCTGAGATTCTTCCCAAACACTATTCACGGTGAATACAGCACTCGAGATAAACTGGGGGACTATGGGTATCATACCCATACATACTTTGGCACCTCAGGGCAAGCATGGCGCCCCAGTACAGGTGCCTCAAGTCCCAGACACAAGGAAATTGGAAACGCCCTCGGGCATGATGTTGGTTTTCCTCTAGGGAACCAGGACTTGCTTAATATGACACATAAGAGTGTCACGGGGCTTAAAAGCCCCCTTTCCCTGACTCTTCCAATCAAGACCATTTTCAGGGATAGGTTCCTCCCATCCACGAGCTTATGAGTGTTGTATGTAAATTAGCCTTTTCCTCCTATCTCCCTGCCTGGTGGGCTTCTGGAAGCTACAGTTTAGATCTGCATTTCTTCTACATTCCTCATTAACAGACTTAGTACATTTAGTAACTTCTCATGTTCATTTACAGACTCTTTTTCTATTAAAACAGCTCTATGAGTCGAGGATATTTATCCCTGTTCCACAGATTGAAAAACTGAAACCCAGAGATAAGGGACTTGCCCAAGGCCACACACCACACCAATGACAAAGCTAGAAGTAGATTCCAGGGGTTTTGTTTTTGTTTTTGTGTTTTGTTTTGTTTGGTTTTTTTGGTTTTTCGAGTCAGGGTTTCTCTGTGTAGCTTTGGAGCCTATCCTGGCACTCGCTCTGGAGACCAAGCTGGCGTAGAAATCCGCTTGCCTCTTCCTCCCGAGTCCTGGGATTAAAGGCTTGCGCCACCACCGCCCGGTTAGATTCCAGTTCTTTAAGATCAAACTATCTCTCTTTAGCTTGACCTGGCTGCATCTATAGCAACTTGTACTTATCCCAAGGATTACTTTAAACTGCCCGGGGGGGGGGGGGGGCGCCTC